GGACTGGGAGGTGCGGGTGAAGGGTGGGGGCAGGGAGGCGCGTGAGTCATGCAAAGGGGGGTGCCACCGGACGCTAGAAGGGAGGTTTCTGCGGGCGGGGTGGTTGATGATGTATTTGGTGGCTGCGACTATGGTCGGGGTGGTAGCTGGGATGATTCTTGATGGCTGGGAGGGCAGCTCGGGCGGTGGCCGACAGGTTGGCTGGGGTGGTGGGTTTTCCCAGATCGAGGTGCTCAGGGGCCATGGCTCGTGCAGAGCTCGGGGTGGTGGTGGGGCTGGTGGCTGAGATGAATCTGGCTGGGAAAGGCGCCATGGCTTGCGTGCTGGCTGGGGAAGGGTGAGGTTAGAGGGGGGTGGCAGAACACGGTGTGCAGAGTCAGCAATGACGGTGGGTTGAGATGTGAATCGCCCATATTTGTTGTTGCGCTGGTGGTTCGTGCCAGGATATTGAGCAGGATCTACCCAGGGCCACTGCAACCGCCCACCCCAGGATCAAAAGACATGCGGCCGCCTTCAAAAGCAGCCTCGCAGCTTTGGCGGACGCAAATCTCACACCTCCCACCACCCACTGATCCCCTGCGTCGTCAGGGGCGCCTTGGTCGGGCACCCCCCCCCTCTTCACTTGTGCCATCACCCTGTTTTTGACGCCTGCACGAACTGCCTATATATATTCAACAGGTCTGCCCTGCGGACTGGAAGCCGGGGGAGCGCACCATCATCGCTGATTCCGAGAAGAGCATGGACTACTTCAGCGGGGTGGCAGAGGTGAAGCTCACATTTATCTGTGCACATACGCTTGCACACGCGTGCATGTTTGTGTGTGCGCACACATGCGTGTGCTTGTGTGCATGTGTTTTGTTGATACGTTTGTGTGTGATCCGGCGCGCGTGGGCAGATTGTGCAGTCAACTCAACTGCGCGGCCACACCCCCCCCCCCACCTCCTCAGCACGAGGGTGATGGCGCCGACTACAAGGGGGTGGTGTCTGTGACGAGCCGCAAGGAGTACGACACACTGGTCAACGCCGATAAGCCCTCGGTTGTTGGTGAGGTTTGAATGGCCGCTTTTTTCTCGGTTTCATAAGCAGTCCTTGCCATAGACTGTGGGGCTTGAATGGCTGCAGTGTTCGGATTTTGTTGCAGCCCCCCTCTCCGCACGCGGGGCTCGTTCATATCCTGCTCCCGTAATGGCCTCCATGCCTGCGCCGTCATCCACCACCCGTTTCAACCTGTGCTAATCAACCCCCCCCCCCACCAAGACTTCATGGCGCCGTGGTGCGGCAAGTGCCGCATGATCGCGCCGCTGGTCAGCGAGCTGGCGCTCAAGCACCCAGACCTGGTGGGGCTGCTGTGGGCAGGGTTCAGGGTTCGTGATCGGATCAGGACGCGCGATGACGTCATCCTGTGGGAGACCTGCATGCTGCGGGAGACCAGCAAGGAACACGTCATCCCGTTGGCGCCCGCTTCTGGAGCCATTCAGGCTCATGAGATTGGACCTTTTCATGTTTGCTGTGTGTGACGGTGTCAAGAGTTGGGGTCGCTGGGTGTAGGAGGGGGTCTATGGCGGCTGGGGCTTTCGGTGGTTTCTAATTGATTGGGCTTCCGGGGCGTCGGTAAGGGTGTGGGGGCAGCCTCGGTCTCAGGGCGCATGTGGGGAATCGGCATACAGCCAGCCTTCGAAGGTCTGTGGAATCCCTTGAAGGCTGTCTGAGCCGCCTTCTCGGGCACCGTGTCAGCCGCTGTGGCCCTTGCTGTGCGTATCTAGGCTGCCACCCAGGCTGGCACGTCATGATGTATCACCCATGCACGGGGCAAGGGTCCAACATCCCGCATCACAGCTGTCATTTGCACCCTCGTCCCCCACCCAATCCGACCCCCCATCAACCCAACCTGCACACACTCACACACACACACACACACACACACATACACACACACACATACACACACACACATATACACATCTCATCCACCCTCTTGATTGTGACACCCACACACCACACCCCAAGTCAACTTGCGGCCCACCAAACCGCGCTACCGCCCCCTCAGACGTTTGTCAAAGTGGACACCACCCGCGATGGGTTCCAGGGTTTGTCAGAGGAGCTGGGGGTGAAGGCGCTGCCGGCCTTCAAGTTCTTCAGGGGCGGCCAGGAGGTGGTGGACCAGGTGGGGGGCGGGGGCGTTTGACCGCGGTCAAACGCACGAGGTGTGACTGGGAGGGGGGGTCTGGCGCAAGGAAGAGGTCCTGTTGGGGAGGGGGTTCTGATTGGTGTGTGTGGGGGTAGAGGGGTAAACTCTAGCGGGACGGGCTGATTGCATGTACGCTGGGGCGGCCTGCTGGATTTGAATTGCCGAGGAGCAGTAAGAATGGAGTTGTGGAGCTCAGGCCCTGATCTAGGGTTTGCACGTTGCACGACCATGCCTATGTTGCAATCACCTACTTGCCAACTCCATGACGACACCTCTAGGTGGTGGGCTACAAAAAGAGGCCACTGGAGGAAGCCGTGGAGAAGCTGTCGAGCCTGTGATCCACGAAAAGCTGCAAACCCCAGCTTATACAACGCGCGGAGGCCTGCCTGTGGGCGTTCACGCTCGCTCGCGGTGGTGGCCAGCGCAAGCTTGAGCATCAAATGGCGTCATCAGCTGCTGTCAAGGGCGACCGGCGACCCCAACCCTTGGTGGAGGTCGCTCGGCATGGGCTGCGGGTTCTAGCGCTTTTTTTCTTAAATCAGTTGTTTGAATCGAATACGCGTCGCTCTACAAAGAGCTATTGAAGCGCAGATAGGCCCCTGCGTCTATGGGTCTACCTTGGACACGTTGGTCCCGCAGTTCGCACTCGGGCTGGCGCCTTTTTACAAGCAGCCTGGGATGGTCCAGCATGCCTGCTCTATTATCCGTAATTCGTAGGCTGCTGGAAGCGTCCTGTTCTGTGACCTTGACCTGTCTCTTTGCAGAGACTGTATGTGCAGCAGCCCTCCAGAGGGAGCGGCTCAGCCACGTGCGCATGAGTGAGTGACGGAAATCACAAGTTGGGGTTGCATGGACAGTTGGCCGGATCTTTCACCATCATCGGACAGGGGCCCGATCAGTAACCATCGTAAGACACAGTGACGCCGTCGTGCCCATAGAACGGGAACCACCGCCGCAGCAGCGCCGCCGCCACCTCGTGCGGCGCCGGCCCGAAAGCGGCGCTGTAGCCGTACACGCTGACGGATCCCGCTTCCGGGCTGTGCTCCATCCGGCCGCCACCCAGCACGTCGCACTGCAGCCCCAGCCGCGACGCCGCCGCGCGGGCGCGCTGGTAGATGTGGTTATGGTAGTCCGCGGCGGGGTGGCCCCAGACCAGGAGCTTGCTGCGCGGCCCGACCGCGGCACCGTCGTCGCCGCCGTCGTGCACGCGCATGAGCACGTATTTGAAGACGCCGGTGCCAATGCTGACCTGTTGGCGTGATTGCGCCGTTTGCGAGCCGGTGTTTCACTGACTGATGGGGTTGAGTAGAGTGACAAACAGGCCGGAAGGACCGAAAGCGATGCCTTGCAGTTGCGGCCCTCCTTTTCAGGCCCAAAGCCTAGGCCCCTTGCGACATCCTTGCCGCCCCCCAACGCCGCCCGTTTGGGGGCCCCTTGCAACCAACCTGCGGTAGCAGGTCCCCTGCCCACGGTGCCGCCGCCGCCGCCGCCGATGACGAATTTGCCTGCCCCTCCCTCAGCCACTCCGTGATCAGCTTGTGGGCGAGCGAGTAGCTTCCGGGGATCTCGAAACCCCCGAAACCGCCGGACTGCGCCCCTGGCCCCGCGCTGAACCCAAGCGCAGTCCCTAAAGAGTTGTCAGCGCCGGGGCCGCCGATACCGCCGCCGCCGTTGCCGCTGCTGCTAGTGGTGCCGTTGTCGCCTCCATTAGTTGCGCCGGCGGCCGCCGCCGCGGACGCGGACGCGGCCGCCGCTGCGGCGCGCATCCAGTCCCGATGGAACCACCGGACGTCCTCCATTTCTCCCGGCTGCGGCACGGGCCGCGGCAGGCGCGAGGCCGGCAGGAGCGCCGCGTCGATCTCCTCGCGCCTTTGCATTGAAGATGTATCAGCCGTGATTCACAGATGGCAGGACGGGCACAAAAAGTCAGGAGGGCGGGCATCGACGCCGGAGGCGGGCGGTCCCATGGCGTTCACAATCGAAAAAGCGCTCCGATAAGCTGGGCCCACCACGCGCGGCCCCCGCAACGCCGGCCAACGCAGACCGACACACGCGCGCCTCGCGCGGCAGCGGCTGCGCGACGCCCCGGCCGCCTTGTGGCGGGCCGCCTCCGCCCCTCCCCCCAGTGATTGCCGTGTGCGCCCGCGGCCCCGCACCTGATCCCGACGCCCATCGCCGCTGCGCGCGCGGGGCCCTCTAGGAGGTCCAGCCCCCGCGGCCCCGCGGCAGATACAGCGCCCCAGGCGGCCGCCGCCTGGGCCCTGAACCCCACCATCAGCGACCGAGGGAACGGCCAGGGCTGGCTGGCGACATATCTAATTGAATGATTGTATCAGGAGGGTGGCGACAGGGGGGGAGGGAATGGTGCGGAGCGATGCGTGTTGGGGATGGCAGCGGGGGTCGCCGCGTGGGGCAGCACAGGGGAAAAGGGTTTTCGGAGTGCAGTGAGGAGCAGCGTCTTCAGGGGATGACGAGCATTCGCAGGTGTGCGCGTGCAGGCGCACGCCCGCGCGTGGGCGCATGGACGTGTGTGCAGGCGCGCACCTGATGCTGCCCGGGGCGACCGCGACCGCGGACTCCTCCGCGACCTCGCGGGCCAGGGCCTGCTCCAGCGTCTCCCCAACTTCCAGGAACCCGGCCAGCGTCGAGTACCTGACAGCATGGAGTGTTTCTCGGCGGTTCAGGTGCAAAGTCAAACAAAGTCAACACGTCACAGTCGCAAAGGCAGCCAGCTGGGCACGGCCCAAAAAGCCTGCTTAGAGGTCCGAAATTGTCCAAGGCGACGAGGCGCCACAGCAGGGTGCCGTGGGACCAAGCAGCCGCCCGCCGGACGGGACCTGGAGCGGCAGCAGGGCGCTGCACGTTGCCTCCCCTGCGTCAAAACATTGACCCGTTGACCTGGTCGAAACCGACAAGGCCCCTTGTCCCATCACGCTGGGTCGCCCACCTTCCGGCGGGCCACTCGGCCTTGCGGCCCAGCAGCGCCCAGTCCCCGGCAGTCACCAGCGTGATGATGGCGGGGTCGATCCGAGGGTACACGCTCCTGGGTTTGGTGGGGTGGTGACCGTTTGTCCGGGTGAGACAGTGACACATGTGTGTGTTTGTGTGTCTGTGTGTGTGTGTGTGTGTGCACGTGTGTGTGTGCACGTGTGTTTGTGTGTGTTTGCACGTGTGCGTGTGTGTGTGTGTGTGTGTGTGTGTGTGTGTGTGTGTGTGTGTGTGTGTGTGTGTGTGTGCGTGCGTGCGTGCGTGCATGCATGCGCGCGTGCACGTGTGTGCGTGTGAGGCGGGCCATGAGTATAAGGCAAGACAATACACATCAGCACATGCGGAAGGCATTGGCACGCAGGGCGCAGCATTCGGGAGGGTTTCGGAGTTCGCGGCCGTTGTCACTGGGGCCCTGGGCAGCCGCTGAGGGGCTGCTCCACCTCAGAAAGCCTCGTGTGCGCCCCTTGCAGCCGGCAGCGGCGCTTCGTCCGCATCGCGCAGCCCCCTGCCCGCCCCGTCACCTGCCAGTCGATGGCACACCGCGCGCGAAGCCGCCCTCCGTGCCGGCGGTCCTCTCGCCAGTGGCGCTGCTGTGCAGGTTGGCGGCGTGCCACTGCGCGAGGCCGCAGGCGGTGGCCGCGATCGCCGCGTCGCCGGGGCTCAGCGCGGGGCCCGCGGTGCGCGCGACAGCCCACCTGGGTTGCAGGTGGGGTTGGTGAGGCCGGGGCTGGGGGGAGAAATGGGGGTGCGGAGCTCGCAGCGACAAAGGGGACGCGCTGCCCAATTTCGTGCAGGCGCGCCGGATAATGAGACTGGCTTGAGCCGTCGCAACAAGCGGAGGCGGGGTCGCGCCGATGCGGCGGGCCCCCATCAGCGTCGCAAGGCGGATCGCAGGCTGAACGGGTCTCGGGACCAAGGCACCCCGCACCTGCTGCCCGTCACCGCGCCCGCCAGCGCGTCCCCGGCGGCGCGGGACACCTGGCCGCCAAAGTGCGGCGCGCCCGACGCGTCCAGCCCTAAGAAAAGGGGCGGCACGTCTGGATCCAACGAAGGCACCGCCTCCGCCGCGGGCGCCACCCACGCCAGCGACAGCCCGCCCTCGCCCGCGGCCGCCGCTGCCGCGGCCTGCGGCGGGCCGCGGCCGTCGCGCACGAGCACGCGCGCGCCGCTGACGGGGAGCAGGCGCGCGGCGGGGTCTGCGAGCAGGCGGGACAGCGCCGCCGCGTCGGAGCGCAGGTGGGCGGCGCGGTCAAGGGGGAAGGCGCTGTAAAATATGGGGTCTGGCGCGCTGCCCTCCGCGCTGCTGTTGTTGGCGTCGCCGCCGCTCCCGTTCTCCTGTGCTGCCACAGATGTGCTGTGCTGCGCTGCCGTTGCGGCGGGCCCGCCGTGCGTGCATTGCACGAGCGCCGGCGCGCCGCGCCCGCAGGGGTTGGTGGTGCGGCGGAGTCGCGACAGCTGCTGCACGCCGCGGCGTGCAGCCGAGCACGCGCGCATCTGGGCGGCGTGGGGTGCGAAGCTAGATGACTTCGCGACTAAGAATCCACACTGCAGCCAGCGATTCCGGTTGCTGTGTCAGTGCGCGACCATTCCTGCGGTCCACGATCTCTGCCGGGTGCAAAGTGTTGATGTTTAGAAAGCTGAAGGATCGCCCGACAACGTGACCAGCAGTAGCCGTTGCCTGCATGCTCCCGGTCAAGGTCACCAAGTGACTGGGGAACGGTGACACCCTGCAGCAGCAGCAGTCGCACAAGGCCAGTCTGAGCGCCTGACAGCTCTACTCTTGCCTACCGTATCACAAACCAGCACACGCTGATCACACAGCATCCACTGCCTACATATTTGACTACTTGCAGGACAGTATCCATCAGATGCCAGGCACAGCTGCCTGGGTGTTACAACCTCCTCCTCTTCCGACGCCGCCGCGGCAGCAGACGGAACCTTCTGAGGTTACTAATAGGGAACGCGACCCTTTCCTCGTCCGGGCCACCCCCGGGCCGCTGGAAAACCGTCGCGCCCGGCAGGTACGTGCCCGCCAGCGCCTTCCCCTGCGCCTGCCCCGACACGCGCGCCCTGAGCGTCAGCGGCGTCGTCGGGTCCTGCACGGCGCTGAACGCCGCGTCCGCCTGCGCGTTGGCGGAGGCGTCGCCCTTGGTGCCGTAAAACACCCCCTGCACGCCGCGGGTGGTGGCGGTCATGTCCGCGGTCGCCTCGGCCCCCAGGTAATCCTCTCTGGTCGTCAGCTGCAGGCCGGTCGTCGCCTGTCGTGCAGAGGGCGCGTCGTGGACGAGATGGGGGGGGGGGGATAAGGGCCGTCGGGCGGATACACGAAAGCGCTGGAAGCGCGCGAGGAAGATGCACTCTTTCGCCGTTAGCTTTCACCTGTGGAGAAATTGCCACGGGTCAACTTCCTGCATGCAACGACGACGGCCTGCTCGTCCTCTGCTACCCACTTGTTGGGCTTGGCCGAAGCCAGCCAGCTGGCTGCTGCCAAGGAACGCCTCAAGAAACCCTTCCAAAGGGAAGCGCTCACGTCAGCCTTTCTGCTGGCGCCGCGAAGCACGTTGTCGCCTTGAAACTGAAAGTATTAGCGAGGAGGTGGTTGATAGGGGTTCGCGACAAGCTTGTCAACTTTTGAAAAGGTGGTGCCCCAGCCTCACACACCACATCTAAACCTTCCTTGGAACCTCCAAGACATCTGTTTCGACGGTGCCCACGCACCTGGAAAATGTAGTCATAGTCATACGGGACGTCAGGGGACTTCTCATTGAAAGGCCTGACGACTGTGCGCACGCGCGACGTCGGCAGCTTCTGCACGCCCGGCGACACCGGCGGCGGCGTGCGGGCTGGAAGGGAGGCCACCTGCGTTGATGGGTTAAACGTTTCCTAGAGTCTGGGGCCATGCGTGGCGATGACACAGGCTAGCGCGTTGAAGCAATGGAGCAACCATTGCAAAACGGGTGGCAGACGCCGAACCTGGACGCATATGACATTGGGCTCTGGCGACGGTGTCGACCCACTCGTCCCCGCCGGCTTTGGTATTGACCGGATTTGGTAGTACGGGGCGCACTGCGGGTCTGCACACGGCAGGATGGGGTCTTCTGCAGCCAAGGCGCCACAGTCCGGCTGCGGCAAGTGGTGCATGGTTGTCGCAGATTGGGGACTGCTTGTGGGGCGCTTGAGGCAATGCAGAGGACATTAAACTTAAGTAGTTGTAGAGGGGCTCAACATGCCATCCAGGGGAGCTTGTGACCAGGCAGGCCGGGGTTTGCAGATGCGAAATCACCTTGCCAAAGTCTGCAAGTTGCTGTTGCTGCTGCTGCTCCTGCAGCTGCTGTACCAGCGCTTGCTGCAGCTGGCGCGTACTGCGAGCGCGGTGGACTGCAAAGGGCTGCGTGCTGTACCTGTGGTTCATAACAAGCCGCGCCTTCTCCAGCAGAGCTGCCTCACTGGTGCAGCAGCCACCTTGCAAAGGGGCTGTGGGAGCTGCCTGCACTGGATGGATTTCATCGCCCGCGCCCCCGCGCTGCTTTTCAAACACGAATGAGGCTGCAGATGCCTGATAATCTACCATAACCACAATAAGTATGCCAATGAGCACTGGTGCTCGCAACATCGAACCGCCCTGTGATATTTGAGGGCCAAAGCTAGCAGCGGTGACAAGGACCGGAGCCATAGACCCCGCCCCAAACCTGCCAGCCTCATTGCTCAGAAGCAATCGCCATCGATCTTCTGATCGTTCCCGAGTGGGGCCTGCCACGTCCTTGGTTCGGCCTGTCCAAGAGAGTCATGCAGCGTTCAGGATGGAAGAGTTGTTCCTCGCTCAGTGCGGGATAATGGAAACCAAACATGGCAAGCGCAGGCTTCAGGGCTGCCGTGGCCGTTCTGGCGGTCCTGCTGATTGCTCCACCAGTACTGGCTGCAGCTCGCGGCTTGGATGAGAGAAGCAACAGCACGAGCCCGGCAGCTGGGCGTGCAGCAACCAGCAGCAGCACGCCAAAGATCCAAGCGGCAAAAAAGGCTTCCGTTGGGCCTTTGCAGGTGGCCAAGCGGTCTGATGCTTTCTTGACGGGTGGCACATCTACCCTTGGGAGCGGATTGGGGATCTTGGGTGACAGCAGCATCATGGGCGGCGCCAGCGCTAGTGGAGGCGATGGCCCAGCTGCCAGCGGTGGGAGCAGCATCATCAGCGGCAGTAGCAGCAGCCGCAGCAGCAGCGGCGGCAGCAGCAGTAGCAGCATGAGTAGCCGTTCGACTGGTACCGGTAGCGGCACGGCTGGCAGCAGCAGCAGCAGCAGCAGCAGCAGCAGCAGCAGCAGCAGCAGCAGCAGCAGCAGCAGCAGCAGCGGCGCCAGCGGTGGGGCCGGGGTCACTAGTGACAATCCAGATGCAATCCTGGGCCCCTACGACACCCTCAACGTGGTTCCAAGGCCGAAGAAGCGTCCAGGGCTGTTGGAGCGTGTGGCCTATGGGCGTAAAACAGCCGACGAGCTGAATGATTGTGAGCTTGCGCACGGCGAAGGGCTGAATTGTAGGTGCGCATGTTGTTCTGCCCAAAAGCGCGGCCCTGCACCCTTGCACCCTTTCTGCTAAGCAGCAATGACCTGCTCGTTGGCATCGATGCCGCCGCAGTTGACACACCCGGCAAACTCCGCCCACCGTATTGCAGATACGTTCAATTTGTATTTAGGTGATGTGGCGGTGGCAGAGGCGGATCCATTCGTTGCTGCCGCCGGCACAGCGGTGCGTGTGTTGATCTCGGCAGGGCGTGTACGCCTGGCGGACGCTGTTTCCTTGGCATGCAGGCACAGAGCACATCTCACAGCCGCCGATTGATATTTGCATGGACTGAGCTGAGTTGGCGTGTGTGTGCTGGCGTGGAGACTCCATTGGGGCGAGGTGCTCAGTGAAAACAAGGGGGGGGATCCCTCACGGAGGCCCTCCCTTTGACCCTGTGTGCAGGCCGCCACCGGCATCGCAGCGTATTACACACGGGTGAGGACTAGAGCGGCCGCGGGCTCGAACCCGGGAGATCCACAGAAGTTGAGGGTTCAGGTCGAGCGTTTCACACATGCGACAGCCCCGGGTGCGCCGACAGCACGCACGCAGCGATGCCTGATCATGTGAGGCTGGTGCTTTCTACTTACATGCAATTCCCTCCTGCCCCTGATTCAGGACTACGATTACGAGAGAACCAATGTAAGCTCTTCTGACAAACCCCTGCCTGCCCGTCTACCTGACGCATGAATAGCTCCCACACATGCATGTTCAAATGCCAGAAGGGCCGTTTGGCGGCTTGATGCACACGCAGCTGCACTGCTGTGGCCCAACACACCCTCTCTGCCTTCCGTGCATTGCCAATCAAACAACAAATTCGTGCCAAACAATGGACAATTTTGTGTTTGCTTACAGGGCGGTGCAAACGCGGGCCCCAGCCGCAAGTCGATTGGCGCTGTGGCGGCAAAAGTCATCGGCTCCGTAGGTGCCAAAGCTGCGACACGCAGCCAGGCATCAACCAAGGCGCAATACAGATTTGACAGGTTGGGCAGCGGCAACGATCGCATGGCGTTTCGCAACCAAATCATCCGTGTGTCTGCCTCCGCCCCACCGACCCAACAGCACATGCCGCCGCATCCTGCCC